AATATCTTTATAAATGGTCTAAATTTTATTAACATCAATACAAAAGCAAATAATAGTTGGCGACATTTTGATTTGACCCCCTTTTTCCCTCCCCTCTCCCCTCATTCTGTGTTGTGTGTCTTGAGGCATAAACAAAGTTATTGATCCAGACCTTTTACTCAAGTTTAGCGTGATGTATGTGACGACCCGCTCTATTTAGAGCCTCTATGACCATCTCGATATTATTTTCAAAACTTTAAGCTCTTTCATTGCTTTAATTTGAAACTCTAGTATGTGATGTGAAAGTAGATATTTAGCTCGTGAGTGTGTGTCTACTGCTAGAGTCCTCCTGTCCACAACCCTTTTTGAGGCAGGTAGTAGTGTCCCTTAGGCGTCCAATAGCACCTGCCGACCTTGCCATTTGAGCTGATGAAAGAGCAGGATGGTTTTCGCGTGCTGACGCCTCAATTTTCTACTGTCATCCGCATGAATTGCAACGTCTGTGACTTACATCCACCAGCAGAAGATGCAGTGTTTGGGGTGGAGGGAACCATTCGTTAAGCCCTGCTTTAAAGGGAAACCTGAATGTCAGTTATGGTTTTCACGTCAAGAACGAATGATCTGTTGAAATTTAGCAAGCTAGCTTGCAGTGCCATGGCCCCGACGAATAGAAGATATGAGGTTATGTTTCAAAGAGTCCTCATCTAACCGGAATAAGCCAGTCTATTGTCACATAAGTGTTTTAATCTTCACAACAGAAAGACTTGCCGCCTGAAATTGAAACTGGGAGCACAAGATTCCGCAGAAGATTCTGATGTCAATGCTGGTTTGTTGTTTTCTCGGTTTTTTGTTTGGAAATGAAAAAGAAGTTTCCGAATCAAGTAGAAGGAGTCTTGTTCCAGCTAGCTGTTTCAAAAGCTCTCGGAAGTTTCTTTGCTGTACAATAATGGAAAGAAGTTCAGGCAATTTCATGAGTCGTCGAAAAGATGACCTCACCAAAAGGAACTCATCTGCTCGAACTGAGAGGCCTGTCATGGCAGACATTGGTTTGCAAGTTGGGGAGGGGCTCATTCCTAGTGCAGGAAATTCACCGTCAAAAAGTGGGAATTGTTTTGGATCACCAGTTCAGGAGACAAAAGAGGCGGACCGCAATACTCATGTAATGTCACTCAAAGATAACAAGTATTCTGAGGGATCACCAAATAAGTCTTGTGATGTGTTGCCTCCTGTGGAAAAGAACTCACCACAAAAACCCTGTTTAAGTCATGAAAAAGTGGTAATCTTCGCTGATGATATGAGCACTAGTGACACAGGAAATGATAGTTCACCTCATAGCCCTGATCACAATATGTCTCCTGATGAGGCCTCTGTAAGTTTTGGAAAAGAAAAATCTCTTTGCTGCATTAGCTTTGCTTTCTGATTGTTTCTAATTAAGTATTTCTTGTTTCAGATAAAAATTGTAAAAGCTGTTGCACCAGCTGGGCTTCCGAAACCAACCAAACAACGTCTATTCACACAGTGCCATTCAGTTGACAACTTACTCCCGTCATCAATTCACTCATCTCCTGGTTCTACCCATAGTGTACCAGAAGCACCTCCTCGCCGGAAAAAAAGGTCACCCTCTCACGAGGCACTGCTAGGACCGAGAAATAGACCACAATCAGTTGGTTGTGAGGGCCATCTTGAACATACAAAAAGTAATTTAAATGGAGGTGGAGAATCCAACACGAATCAAAGTGGTGCCTCAACAGAAAATTTGGCAAGGCAGTCATTGCTTGCAGCACAACTTCTGCATTTGATACCAGCAAACAAAGCTCGTGAAAGGTGGCTCAACATTTTAGTCCCCACTTTTACTATAT